TATACTTATATATGTAAAGTATTAAATATCATATATATGATATTAAATTGTAATAAATATATTTTTTCCTTATTTTAAAGTTGTACATTAAAAAATATTTTTTGTTTACACTTTAATGTTTAATCTTTTTTAAATCAACCCGTGTAATACACGGGTTTCACACCTAGTCTGGAGAGAATATACAAGAGAGAACAATTGAACAATACTTGCGTCTAAGAGAAATGAGCTCAGTTTCCACATTAAATAGCCAGGGCAACATATACCCATGGACTACCCATGGATCTGGTTCGGGTTAAATGACCCGTGTGTCTTCTTCACCTGTATTCACAAGAAATACAACCATACCCCTATACTTATAATAAATTAACAAAAACATATCATATAACTACAAATGATAAGTTTGCTTATATTATTACTTTTTAACAATAATAATCATTTGGGAAATTTGACAGGCTGTATGACCGATTTTCGACTAATTTTCCGTTTAACCAATCTTTTTTTATCCATTTTTAAATATTAAAGTGTAGCAAAAAATAATAACATTAATCGGCATACAACTTTTGGGAGCTATTATTTTTAGTGTTTAAGATAATTATTAAAATTAAAAATAAAAAAAAATAATAATAAAACTTTGTTTGGTAGAAAATATTTTTAGCTTTTATTTTTAAGCTCTTAATCCAAAAACTATTTTAAAAAGTTACGTTTAACAAAAAGCCCATAATATATTACTTTTAAAAATATATTTATATATTTATTTTTGTAAACAGTTATCCTTATATGTAATTTTAGAAGTTTCAAAAAACTTCTAATTATCTTTACCAAACATTTATATACAAGTATAAAAGCTATAATTCCACTTACCAACTTTCAATTAAATTTGCCAAACAGACTATTAATATTTTTTTATCTTTATTTTTAGTTTACTTGTCTACGCATGACAAACAGAAAGAATATAGCCGCAATCGACTCATTCATGACAAGCGTAATGGATGAAATTTGTCATCTTTAATACTGGTCCAGTATATTATTATTATATAAAAAGAAAACAGCATTAAACAAATAATAAATTGTTAACATATGGTGTCACAATTCTTCTAAAATAATATTTTCTTTATATCCGCATGCACTTTTACATCAACGGATGATATCAATAATTGATGATAAGGAGCTTTCGGCACCATAAAATAGAAAAGATAGACTCGGGTCCGAATGGACCATTCACCGACCGTCTTAAACAAATCGTTGGGGTCCGTGGTCCGTACCAATTGGACACACACCCGATTTACAAGTGAGAGACGGGATGGTGTGTGTGTGTGCGCATCTTAAAGTCTTGAAAGTTGAAAGTGAAAGAAAGAGTTGGAAAGTATGTAATAAAAAAAATCAATGCAAGATTTACATGTTAAATCAATTATTTATTAAGAAAATGTTGGGTTGTTGTGATCGAATAATACGTCAAAACAGATCATATTGTTAAAGCGGTGAAAGATTTAATTAAGGAATAATATACATAAAGGTACTATAAACTATTTAAATGTTTATTAACGATCAAAATATTGAACAATATCATCTAACTATGTTGTAATATGAGTTTATTTACGTCAAATTCAGTCAAAATTACATTATAGAATCATGAAATTAACACTCATGATTGCTAAAAAGAACTACTTTAGTTTAGAGTCTTCTTTGTCAAAAATTTGCACTACATGTTTTGGTTGAAACGTTGTTGTATATTTTGTATAAAAACAAACATTGTTCCATAAATTGGGAAGAAGATAAAATATTATTGCATAAATAATAGTTTTAACTCTTCAAATTAGTATTTACCAAGCTTAACCTATATTAATCATCTCTTAGGTGACCGTAAAGAAAAGTAAGGATGTGTATGAGGCGGTTTGGTTTAATTATAGGCCAAAACCAAACCATAACCGCTACAAACAGCAGTTCGATATCCATCAATTATTGGTTAGAACTAGTTTCGGTTAACAGTTTTAAACAATTATTGGTTTTGTTTATTGATTAATAATTCAAAACTGTAAATAAATAAAATTACATTGCAATTAAGAGTCAAAAACAATAAGTGCATTGTTGTAAATAGTGAAGAAAAAAAAAATTATTGCTACTTGTTAAATATTATAAGGGTAATATCCAAAAAAAATCCTAAATTTTATGTCAGTTTATGATCTAGTCATAAATTAAATTTTATTAATGAAAAAGGACAGGAAACCGACTACTATAATCACTTTGATCCTTTTTTTTTACCTGTAACCTGTTGAGGTGGCGCCAAGTGGACTGTTTGCTTAGGTGGCACGCCAAGTGGACTGTTAGGCTTACGTGGCAGCTGATGTGGCATGTCATTCCTTTACAATTAAAAAAATAGATTTTTGGGAGTAAAGAAGGGAGGGGGGCTCAAACCATTGACCTTCCACTCATAAACGGTACACATTACCATGTGAGCTATAAGAACTTATTGTTATAATTTCTTCAACTTTGTTTTATAAAGTGTTATCACTTCGTCTTCCTCCCCATATCATCAGCCCACCAACCCCCATCGATATACCTTCCAACCTCAATTTCATTCAGGATCGCAACCCATTCATCATTCTCTCTCTCAATCGAACGATGTCTACTTGACACCAACCACCACTACAACGACGTTCATCGGTTTTGTTGACGCCACTAGGGCTGTTCACTATTTGGATAAAACCGAATTGTCTAATTGGACAATTTGGATTCGACTATTTGGTTCGGATATTCGGATTTTTGGATTGGTTTTCAACAAAACTGAATTATTAGTTTGGATTTCAGATTGGTTTTGGTTTATAAAATAAGAACTGAATAGTCCAAAAAAACCGAATAAACATTTATTATTTATTTATTTATAATATATATCTATAGTTATCTATTAATTTTTTAATTTAGTTTTTCAAATAGGTTCAAAACGTTTCACCCGATAAAAAAACATCAATATGTATTATCTCTCAAGAGTTTTCTATCTGTAAAATATTTAACTACTCCCTCCGTCCCAAAATTATTGTCCACCTTACTATTTTAGTTTGTCCCAAAATTATTGTCCACTACCAAAAGTAGATATACACTTTTATCATATTACCCCTAACATTTAATAAAGTAAACTTGAATAATTATAAATGCACATTTCTCATTGACTTTAGAAAATGGCAAGAGGGTTATTTTACTCAAAAAGACAAAACTAATGATTGTTTTTTTAATCTGTGTGTTTTTTGTTTGTGGACAATAATTTTGGGACGGAGGGAGTATAATATATCTTCTTTGTAGTTGTTTATAAATTTTAAATCGCAACTAAATAATTTGTTTTCGCATCTAGTGTAATTGGGTAATATTATAATTATATGTCGTTTTAAAATATTTTGGTTTTTAAAAACCGAATTATAAAAACCGATTCAACCGAATTGTAATTGGATCGGATTTGAATTTAGTTTGGACTATTCGGATCCATGTTTTGAAAACTGAAATCAATTTGGATTCACTTGATTGGATCGGATCAAACCGATCCATCCAAACGAACACCCCTAGACGCCACCGACCTTCCATATCGGCCACCACCTTCACCGTCGGCGACTTACTACTTGTTGTCTTTGGGAGGAGAAATCGAGTTCCATGTGTTGATTCCGTCAACTGCTTCGATTTCCCTTATTCCAGCTTCCTCTCTATGTCCAACAGTTCCCATCTTATTTAGGTATTATCGTGTTACTGATTTTGTAATGTGTTACTTCATTTTGGGTTACTGTTTTTTGTACACCCACTTCAAGAAAAGTTCCTTGCTTTGCACATGCTCTATCAAGGACATTGTAATGGTCAGAATCCATGTCCTTGCCTTTCCGACAGTAAAGATGTAGTGGTGGTTTTCGTAGTTGTCGTTGAATTTGTCATCAGAGTTAAGATGAGAGAATCGGAGTTGAAGGAAGACCGAGGGAAGAAGAAGGGTTGAAGGGGGTAACCTGCTGAAAAGGTAAAAAATGTTAAAGTGATTACAATAGCCGACTTTGGGGCTCTTCTGGAGATTTCTCAATATTATAATGGCATTACATTTTTAACATCTCTTATTCTCTTCAGATTTGATTCCTTATTTAATTAAATATAATTGCCTTTTATGTATAGTATTTTTAAAGTTTTTAACCTTTTATACATTCATTACATATAATGGTTTGGTTCAGTTATATATGGGACTGCAATATTGGTTCAGTTATATATGGGACTGCAATACGACCAAAACCAAACCATTTGTATTTGGTTAACAAAAATCAAAAACTACACCACCATTTTTAATAATTGTTCAGTTACAATTGATTTGTTATATCAGTTAATTTGGTTATGGTTTGGTTTTTTGGTTTTTATAGTCTCCCCTGAAAAAAAGTAAATCAATTATGATTGAAAATTGGACCTTGGAGCAACATAATTTGATATTTATATCAATGACGATTATAAAGGATTGGATTTAGAGCCGTATATGCATAAGAAGGTGGGTAACGATGTCTTGACTAGCTTCTGGGAAGATAATTGGATTGGTGATATTAATTTTTGTTATACGATTTTAAGACTTCTTACTTTAGAAATTGATAAGGATTTTAAGGCAATTCAAAATTGGCTGAGAACTCGGACTATCACAATATATTCACAAACGGATTATCAAAAAAATGAACATATCATTTTGAGAATTGTGGTAAATGACCTAATTTTTCGGATTTACCGAAATGTGTAAATTTTACACAATTTTTATTATTTAAAAATATTTTGCAGATCTTAAGTTGGAGGGAGTATCGGCTATATTCTGATTTAACTACTGATGGGTATGAAACTATGAATGATAAAGAGAAGATTTGCATGTCCCTCTGCAAGGATGACACGCACGAATCGATAAATGGTCCAAGAAAAACTATTGATGGGTATAGGACATCCAAAGCAGCAGTTAATTGAACGTTTTCATACAGTGTGAACTTACAAACAGCCAACAATAACATCACACTGCATTCAATTGTACAACAAACAAAACACATACTACTATATTATATTATATTATATTATATTGGCTTACTGGAGTTGTTGTACAGTACAACTACAACCCCTTGTCCAGCTATCAGAAAATTAAAAATCCACATGCACAAAAATAAGATCTATTAAATTAAATAGAAGCCCATACGCAAATACCAAATTGGACTCAAAAAAAGTTGGGTGTTTTTACCATTATGCCATTATATATTATATTAATGGCTTAGCTGCAGCAGATGAGCTTGCTGAACCAGTGGTAGTGGTACCTCTCACTCTCAACCTTGCAATCAGTTCATCCTGCCACCACAATTACAAATCATTTATGTAAACTTCAGGGTTCACTTTTTACACAAAAAATATCAAACACTTTAACAATGTTTCATTTCTTAACCATTTATGCAACATCTATGAATTAATTTATGCAACTATGTTTCAACGAGTTAAATAGCTAATGGTAAAATGTTGTGCCTTTTGGTCCTAAAATGAAATGTAACTGCACATGGTATAAATACTACTTTGTTGCATAAATATTAAATATGTGAACCATTGTTGTGAAAATAAGCCCCTGTATTTTATTGCTAAAGGAATTCAATTCTATACGTATCCGATGGGACTCAATTCCCTACTCATTTGCAACCAAATGGTTGGAATGGAATTGAATTCCAATTCTGGCCACATCTCATAACCAAACATCCCCTAAATGTTTAATTAAAGCTTATGCAATTCATGAATGCTTGAATCAGATTTGTTTAAGGCCCTGATTGATAAAACTGAATGTTGAATGATTAACAAGTTTAAATAAACAACTTGAATTACCATTTTAACCCTTTAAAAGGAATGTTCACATACCTTCTTCCCTTTTACGGACAAACCCCTCTCCTTCAGAAGTGCACGAAGTCTCTCAACAGTCAAACTTTGAAGATTTTCAGGTATCTGTGACTTCAATACGTCTGCATGATGTAAAATCATCACTACTAAGTAAACAAGTATGATCATTTAACCATAAAAGTACTGTAAAATAAAATAAAGTAAACAAGCTTGCCACCATATTATAACCTAACACATTAATCAACATATAGTGTCATATAATCAACTAAAAAACTAACCTTGGCGGAACCCATTTTGGGTGGTGGATGCTGCCCTCTTAGCAGAAGCCCTACCATCCGCAGCTCTTTCTGGGGCCCTAGGGAGAAAACAGTAATCTTTCATTGTCAAAAATATATAGATACTAAATCCCGTGAACGCGAGCATAAACAACAAGTATGTGTAACAAAAAAAAGTTAAATACCTCTTTCTTGAACCCTCATTTGTGCCTGCACCCTTTGCATTCTTTGAAGTTGTTCCAGACTTCTGTTGTTGCTTAAGGAGAAGTGATCTAATCAGTATGTTCACTTGATCAGTCTTTATAAGCTGATTTTCTGAAAAAAAAGAAAAACTTTATAAGTTATTTGACATCTTTGTCATGTAATTCACATATAGTAAAGATAATTTTGTAGAAGATGACCTGGAGGTGTAGTGTCATGATCAGTTATGTAGACCCGCATTCCACCCTGTGTGATAAGATAAAATGCAAAACAGATGATGAAAGCTAGAACTAAATAATCATTTCAAATGCATAAGATGATGGATCTGAATTATCTTACTGATTTTATGACAACAAAACTGTTATCATCAAGAATCTAACCAAGAACTTAAATAGTCTTCATAATCAATAAATAGTTTTACCTTTCGACATTGCAAATCCTGGATTCAAGCATTTACATTCATGATTCATGTTTGTAGATTGATTGATCAAAGTCACCAGAGAGATGAATTCTAGAACAAAACTCACTCTTGGAAGCCCAATAATCCATGAGTTTCATCTCTGGATAGAGTTTTACATTGGTATGAATTTGGAAGCTTTTTATGATTTACTCATAACTTAACCACGTCTATTAACAGCACAAACCAAGCAAGTTCAATTCCTCACAAAAATAAAAAGAGACTTAATAATGTAGAAATCATAACAATGAAGTATCAACAGAAAATGGTCGATTTCATGGGTTGAAATAGAATTAACAACGGAAATCATAATCATCGAACCCTAATTGAGAGATACACGGATATACATTTTACGTAATTCATTTTACCCTAACGCCATTGGTCAAAACCTATATTAAAAACGCATTGATTTTCTTCACAAGTAAAAACGCAGCGCAATCGATTCGGCGAATAACAAAGTCGATGAGAAAAAAAACGAGGAAAATAATTGAAAAAAGTAGGGTTTATGTAGAATTACCAAATTGGAAGAAATGACGGAGGATGAGAAAAGGCCTTTGGAGGGAAGATCGAGAAGAAACTTGGAAGCACCATCAGAGTTCTTGTTCTTGGAGGGTGTTGCAGGACCATCCATGGCGCCGCTTGCGACGGTTAGTTTTTGCACCGTCGGCGTCGGAGGATGGGAATGAGGAGGTCGATTGAAATTTTACTCGCGCGGAAATCCTACCCGCGAAGGGGAAGTTTTGGATTTTGTGCAAAACTATAATAATAACGTTTGAGTAATTTTTCTGGTTACAATGTTTTGATTTGTTATGATTTAAAACATCAAATGTAGATTAGTCATTTAGTCATTACTCATTAGATATGCAATATTTATCGTAAGAGATTTTTTTTTAAAGAATAGATATTAAATTACTAGATTATCTCTAATTTTATTAAAATGATTATTTAGTTCTGACTTTTTAGTTTCTTATTTGCACTGTTGAAGGAAAATAAAAACAATACACTACCAATTTGTCATCTAAATGTTACCTCGGGTCAAAATGGTTCAAATTATAAACAATAAAATCAATTTTATTACTACAACAATACTCAAAAATATGTGTGCTTATATTATCTTTGGCATCTTCGTATGCACATATTAAACCTATTCATGTGTATAGGAAAGAGACCCTAACTATTCTGATGTTACAAGGAAAGTCTTGTTCGAAGATTAAGAACTAGAAAATAGCATGTGTACTTCATCATGAGATAGGGTTTTGTTGTGTAAAAATGAGAACAATAAAATTTCTCATAATATCCCAACATGTTGGAAGTGTGAAAAATTTGGGCGTGTAAATTAAATTATTCATCTGGAATGGATTCAGGCTTCAACTAACAACGAATGCGTTCTTATGTATAGTGATGACTTCTTTTTATACATGACAATATGACATCCTTGTGGTATGCTAGTGTTACCATGGAAAACGATGTATGTTTAGTGGGTTCATAGATGTACATAAGGGAATTGGATTAACATAAATTGATTGTGAAAATTGGTGTCGGGTGAACTTATTGGTATGCCAAATGGAAAAGTTAATACCATATATTTTTCAAAAAGTTAGAATGGATTATACTTAGTGGTGATACTCTTTTATGGTTGGTCAAAAACGAGACAGCTTGTTGCTAATAAGAACATATATTATGACTAAATTTGACCGATAAAAAGCCAACATAGCTACAAAGTGCACTGTCATTTTGAGCAAATGTGATGAGTTTATAGTGTTGTAAAACAAGAATACAACATATCTAATTGTCTTTTTTTAAGAAGCCAAAGTGGTGGGTTCACACCCATCGTGTACACATGCCAAGACATCTCTATAGTCTCTTGAGATTGTGAAGTTGTCATACACAAGTCCATCCCTACTCTTCTTGTACTCAAATAGAAGCGAAGAGTGGTTAAATGCAGTAAGTTTCACAAAACCCCAATCGTGATCTTTAAACAAACTCCAAACCGTATCAATCTCTGTAAAATCTGACAAATGACTCCCTCCTCCACCAACCACCACATGGATTGTCCCATTTACAGTACCAGAATAACTATATCTTTCCATGTTCACACATTGGTTCTACAACACCACAAGAAGAATCACATCACCCATTTAGAAAGATATAAATTAAATTATTAATACCTGGTATATGGGGCAGGTTCTTTCGTAATTATGGACATGTCCATAGAATGCAATGTCGACTTTGTATTTCTGCCATAGTTTCTGCAAATGCTCTCTTCCCATTGGCTCTTCGAATGAACCTTCCATTGCATACCAACTGTTTGATGAATAGCCAAGCACACGATGAGCTGCAAAGATCAACCATGGCTGTTGTTTTCTGTCAACAGATGCTAGACATTTTTCTATCCATGCATACTGTTCAGAACCCTCCCTCCAGTCATGCTCTGAATCCGCTATGCAAAAGTGAAACATCCCATAACTTGTTGAATACCTGTTAATAGACTAAATATACCTTAACATCTTTATTTGATGTTTCAATATAATATGAAAGAGATAAGAAAAAAAAAAATTCTTTTACCAAAATTTAGCTCTATTATCTGCAGGAACATAGTATATTGTCTCAGCAGGAACACCACACTCCCCACCTGAATCTTTAGTGTCATAGAAGCCTCCAGAGTTGGGCCATGATCTTTCATGGTTTCCACTGCACAAGTTACAATTTACAAATAAGTCCAATGTTGCAATAGAAAGAAATGAAAGTAGAATGTTGTAATGCAAACCTTGCAACCATGTAAGGCTTTATTGATGCAATGGGTTCTACTTGTGCAGTGAACTGGTCCCACTGTGAGATATATCCATTTGCATAAGGCATATCTCCTATATGGAAAACTATGTCATAGTTATCAAGGTCACTGATTAATTGGTCAGCAGTAATCAGTGATCCTGGCTGATAACTAGCATACTCGTTTGAACCATCACGTTCAGCCTGAAATTTTAGTTAGTTTAATCGTTAAATGCAAGAAATAGCAACATACTTTCATTGGTTTGTTTGTTATAGCATCCTACTTTCATTTCTTAAATCTACTCATTATATTAATGTCATGAAAGTCAGTTAGGCCAAATGGCATAATGGTTAAAAAATGCAAATGTCTCCTTTTTCATTTGTAATTATTATTAGTAAAATACACTACTAGATTTCTATATTTTTTCATAATTGAGGGGCATTTGATATATTTAACTATTATTACCTTCCCCATGTCTCCAAAAATAATAACACGCTGCAACGAATCCTGCCCGGGATATGGGGATGATTTAAATGAATACATTTTACTCCAAACAACTGATCCATTCGATAGCCTATGTCCAATCCTGTAATTATACCTGCAAAATTGTTGTAGAAACCAAACAACCTCAGAATAATGTTTCCTAACTTATCCCCAAGTGTGCTTTCGTTTGCTCAATATTTTGTAAACATCATTCATCCACACAACACTTTATCCAGAAAGCACTTAATGGGAAAAACAAGGGGAGGTTTAAATATGAAGTACACATACATAGTGTTTGGCCACAATTCCTTCATGAAGCTAGTGTGTATAAAGCCAGGATCACGCCATCCAACAGTTCGTGCAGGTTCACCTGCATTGTAAATAAGTAATCATTACTAATGCCAAAAAAAAAAAAAAAAAAAAAAAATCAAAGGTATCATTAGTTATGTATAAATATAAGAACTTAGAATCAATATATGGAATACTTTTATATGATTGTAAAAAGATTGATGTACCTATGTGGCTATGTTTATGTTTCAAGTTTTCAACAATTTGAAATTTGTAATTTGGGAAGTTATATACATGGTGGATGCATAATGCGTTGGGTAGTTTTTTATAAGATTTGACATGAGATTATAATTTATACCACACATGCTTCCACGAGTAAATGTCAATGTTCCTGCTGGAGAAAGCTTTGGGTCATGGCCCTTCCAACCCCACTCCACAAATGGAGTTGCTTCATCAATGTTGTAACCACTTGTCCATGTTACTGTCATCTTCACAAACATCATACACAACATGCCATTTGTCACAAACTGATTGGCTAGAGCTTAAACAAAAAAATATATATTATAAAATGGCGCACTAAATGGACGCACCATTTTAAAATGTTACAAAAAACTTACTTCATCCCAAGCCTTCCCTTGAGCAAGGCGTGGATAAAGGGGAGCTTTAGGGTTCACAAATGATATAGGATCTGAAACAGCCACCACTTTTGGCTGTATTCCAAATAACATAATCAGTCAACAATATTAAAACCTTCTAACTTATGTTCAAAATATAAATGATAAACACTGTGGAAAGAAATAATCGACTCACATTTTCCAATCCACCTGTAAATAATGCAAAGGAGAAATCTGCACGTTGATTGATGATCTGGAAACTCAGTTTAGCTTTTCCTGCTGTTATGTAATTGGAACCCGAGTGGTTTGCATACATGTACTATAAAGGAAATGTTTCATGTGAGAACAACCAAAACTGATAAACACATTATAACTTTTTAAAATTTTCAAAACCCCAAGCATTATTATGCATACCTTTATCGGGGATGTGCATATACAAGGAGCTTCATGTGATTTTCCGGATTCAGGATAGCAATCTGATACACTGACATATTCACATGGTTAAAATATGAATTAATATTTTTATATGAAGATGCAGCAGCTGCAAGATAATATGCAGGTGTGTAACATAAGAACATTACTTGAAATTTGCAGGTGAAAAAACTCCAACCCAGTCATCCTCAGATGGATCTGGGTAACTGAGCTCCACATTGACCCATACAGTATCCTCGCCCTATAAAATTATATATATGATACAATCGCAAAGTTGGAACAGTAAACTTATAGGACTTACTACAAAATTTAAGACATGGGATACAAATCATACAATACACAAGAACAACAGCCTTATATAGCTAGAAATTATTGGCTAAAGAAAACAAATCAAGGGTTAAATGCGAGAAGAAGCAATGTACTTTCATGATTTCTTTATTATAACATCCTACTTTCATTTCTTTCTATTTCAACATTATACATTGAAAAATCCACCCAATTATAGTTTATAGCAATATCATCTAAATACAAAGCAATTTCACTGCTATAATTGGGTGTGTTGATATTTATTGCACTTAGCCCAAAGATCAATGTAAAGTGTAAACAACATCAAGGGAGCCTGTTTTATTCCTATGGTAGCACAGAAACCTTTTCAACTGAGGACCTAGCGACTTGTAGAATCACAAATTATGAAACTATAATGATTTAGGCCAAAAATCAACGATTCTAACAGAAAAAAATCCTAGAGTATTGAGCAACAACGTTGTTAAATGTAGTAAACTACGATAAATGGTCAAGATTACAAGAAGGGTGCTAAGAGTTAAGCGGAGGTTTAAGCGATGACAAGTAAATGAAATAGACCATATTTACCTTCAAACCCAGAAGAAGAGGGCTGGCTTGAATGGATGCGGATTCATGGAGAGCAATAAGAGCTTTGTGAACAGCAATCTTGGACAGCGGTTGCTCATCAGTAGGTCGCCTTCCAAGATCGCTGCGTATAAGAGGAGAGTAAGATGAAGCATGACAAACCCTCCACAAAAAGGCCTTAGACGACAACAATAAGAACACCGTGAAGAGGGTATCCATTGTTGGCATTCTATCAAACAGTTAGTGTGCACAAGCTTCAAAAAGGAAAAGTATGGACCCTTTTATGCCCACGATTCATAAATTCATCAAGGACCAATCACAAGATTTGGAAAGTATTAAATGAACGAGGACTGTAGAACTAGAAGACTATTCAAAGATACACTTGTAGTCTTGTACCTAACCCCACTGTAAATAAGGTCAACATCAGTAGTAAGTAGTAACGCAATTTTAGTGCAGTTACCCATTTGATTTACGTAACGCTAGAATTATTTTTGATTTTTGTTGAGTTGGCTTTGAGTCTTTGTCGATGTGGACGGCATTGATAAACCAAAAGTTAGAAGAAAGCCAAGGTGACCTTGATATGACCGTCTTGTAATTACTGGCACTGGTATTAGTCGCAGGTGGTAGGCCCGGCCGCAAACCATGAAATCTCCGTTTGATGGAGGATTCAAAGGTCGGATTGCGCCTCCAAATCCATTTCCTTTTTCATTTCTTTTTTCCTTTTCCCTTTTGCCGTTTCAAATATAAAAACCATTTAATTTTTGGGAAGAAATCATACATTTTTCAACCTTTTATAAAAAGAAATGACATTATTTTTCTTTTCCTTCACAATTAACATGTTTTTACAAGTTTATATGGAAAAAAAAAAATATCTTCATGTGACATTTTTGTGGTAAATATATGTCCATATAAACAAAGATTGATGCATTGGTTGGGTTTTCCCTTCTTTACCGTTCTTCACAATTTGATTGACATCTTTCATATCATCAGTTTTTTATCATTTTCAAGCACAATATATGTGAACAAATAGAACCTTGAAGATAGAATATTGCTATGTAGTTGCGAAGATCGATCCGCCGTTCAAAAAAAAAGTTGCGAAGATGGACCTCTTGGACACATATTGACAACTGTATTTAAAAGGAGTCTTTTTTCTAAACCTTAAGTTTGGTCCTTGTGGTTAGCAAAAAAAAATATAGATGGAGTCCAAAATCTTTTGAAATTAAACCATTGGTCTAAAATCAGAAACTTCTTGTGGTTTTGGTCCCTGAAAAAGATGAAAGAACTATTTTACCCTTTCAATTTCTTTTTTGTATTTTTTATATTTGTTTTAATAAACTTTTAATTTAGAAAAAAAAAATTATACCTGCAACAATTCTGAGATTAAACACATACACCACCTTTATATGTAAATCAAACAATTTCCAATCTAAAAAAAATGGCTAAGTACATCAAGCATAGGATTGAATAAATATGTAACAGTTCCAAGATCAAACACATACACAGATTGTTTTCATATCAAACATATACACCACCTTTATATGTAAATCAAACAATCAAGATAACTAAATGCATGAAGCACCTAATTCAATAAATCTATTAAGATTTTAATATCAAACACATATACCATTTTTTATAACAAAAACATAAACCACTTTTGAGATCACATTCACACACAAACACATACACACACCTTATTAAATCTAGGACTTTGACTGACTTTGACTAGAAAACTCTATATGGAATAGTTGAAGCAACATGAAACCTTAACTGCATCAGGAAAAAGAGAAAATGTTGCCCCAAAATAAATCCTATAAATCTATTGTCTTCTTGATAGCTATTACGTGCTCACTTAGCCTCAAAACAAACCCTAAATCCTTATTAAACGCAATAAATCTCACCATTTTTGGTAGCTTTTCTTAGAAATTTTGGGTATAGAAAGGGTTGGAAATTCTGATAGTCATGTTAAACACTTTCAGATTAAAGTATTTGGGTGGTACTCCAAATATTCTTTAATCGGATAAGACTCAGAGAGACAAGAACAGAGAGTGTTTTGATGATGTTTTTGTATGTAACAGAAATGAGACTAAAACTTACTTTAAGATCTTTGTATGAAAATTGTCATATGACAGTTTCAAACTGTCATAAAACTTTAAAAACTAACATAAAAACGATATTTGGATAAGGGTCAAACCACTAGTCAATTCTCTGAAAAACTGATTTTCTGATGCATTTTTAATATAGTAACATACCCTATATAAAAAAAATTTGCGCTGACCTGGCAGCTTGACCCCAGCCAGGGGCTGCCGCCCCTTGGACCCCCATTCGTTCGGGGGGCTTCACCCCTAAATGACAGTGTACTTTGAAACTTGATCAAACTTAAACAAGCGGGTACTCCACACCTTCCTTACTTGTTTAATATTTATCAAGATCACTTTTGGTCAACAAAGTAATCCCATTACACTTAAATAACATTGATGATAAGAAATCACCAACAACTTCGTCGCAACCCTGAAGCTACAGAGGGTAGAGGGTATTGGTGCGGCTTAATTGGTGTCGATGCAGAAGGAGGGTGATGTGCGACTCCAGTGACGTTGTCAATAGAAGTGAGTAGATGAATGAGGATGTTTTATGGTGGTGGGAGATGGTGAGTAACTATGGTGGTGATCTGATCATTAATAGAGGAGATGAGATAGAACATGAGATAAAAGGTCAAGAGTTAAGAGAAAGAAGTATGTACCACGGTTTTTGTA